TCAAATTTAATCGCAAATATTTAACTTTATTTTCAAATAATTATTGCACTGGTGAAAAACTTATCAATTTAATCATACAAATATTTTCATTTCATTTGCAAAGTACTTTTCAAGAACACTTTAATGTTGTTATTAAGTAAGCATCAAAGATAACAAATAAGTTGTCATCCTTTATTATTTACAACACAAAAGGAAAATATAAATAAATTCAAAACCAGTCAGGGCTATAATAGGAATATATAATAAGCATATTATGTTCCTATTTATAAGAGTTTTTGATATTTCATAAAAAATAAATAAATTTCTGTTTTATTTTTATTTTTAATTTATTATGTAATGAGAAAAACTGTAAAGAAATTATTCACAAATTGATATTGTTGAAATTCGGAAAATTTCATTTTTAATATTCATTAAAATGAAAATCCGATCGAATCCAACGGGGATAAAAAAATGTTTTTCTGATATGTGTATAAAGGAAGATCAAAGAGATTTTACCGAAAATAAACCTGAAAATTCTCACCGACATAACAAAAAAAAACAAAATTAATGTTCCGCGGTATGTTGTACGTTCTTCAGTTTTCCATTTTTAAAATTTTAATAATGTTTGAGAAAAATAAAATAAAAAATCTTTTGTTAATTTAAGATAATTAAGAACAAAGGGAGAATAAGCAAAGATATGATATTCGACCGAATTAAAATATTTGTGGATATCTAGTTACTTTTTGAAGTTAAAACTGATTCGAGATATCAGCTAGGAAAAATAAACTCCTAATTCTAAAATCAAATAATTACAAAGAAGCCAGCATTTGCTTATAAGTAGTTTTTATCATAGAAGAAATCACAAAAAAGTCTCACTTTAAACCTGTTTGCAGGCCCAAAAAATTATCCTTAGTTTGCACATAGAAATTTAACGAGAACTTGCTTTTTCGCGATTTGGAAGAAACTGCATAAGGTGTTCATCCTAAATGTATGCAATTTTAGAAATATATTCGTATATGAATGAAGGTAATTGAGCACATAGCTAGAGATTGTTATGAAAAGAAGTGTTTTCACTTGTTGAAAAGAAATGTGCTACATTACAAACCATCGGTTTGACTCAACTTTATTAAAAAAAAAATTCAATAAATCCCAATAAATAAAATAATTAAAAAAAGAAACATAATTGGAATATTCATAAATAAATTTTGATTGGCTAACCAAACATGATGTAAAATTTTGATTGACAGATTACCTTGAACAGAGAATCAATTAAAATCCTGCTTCTACGGATGGATAGAAAAAATAAATTTATGATTGTGGTTTTGAAGTACTGATTTTGTTTTATTAAAATTTGTTTCAAGATGTGTATACATACACACATACATGAAACGTATATATATGTATGTATGTTTTTATAAAATAGAATATTCTAATTAGAATTTTTACAAAATTTTACAATTTTTTATATTTTATTAAATTTAATAGTTTAATTTTAATAAAATATATGGAACCGTTCCATTTACGTATACACGTTATGTTCTACTTGCTTTTTCTAAATTCTAGACCATTCTAGTGGCAACTTACCAACGAACCAATATAAGAAAACTATTTTAATAAACATTAAGAGTCCTAAAATTCAAAAGCGTACAGTATAAGAATTTACCTTACCAGAAGCCTTCGAAATATCGACGATAAATAGCATCTGTATTTAGGAATACTATCGTAGAATAGTGGTCTTTCATCAATTTCACTTAAGAAAAAGTAAATTTTCGGCTTAATTTTAGATTAAAAGAGGTTTGGTTGGAGTAACCGCAACGAAACTAGAGCTTTCAACAATACTTCTGTTTACGCAGTATCTGTTTACCTCTGCTACTATAGTTTTCGACCGTAACTTTGCTTATAGTAGAAAAGTAAAGACCCAGACTTGAACACTGGCATAACCATTGTACAATAAAATTCCAATCTTTCACAGACCTCCACAAATTTCTAATTTTCTACAGAAACAACATTTCTGAGCGATCTAATAAAAAAGTAAAAAGGGTAAGACAAAAAGCATGAGCCGATTCTGCAATCACATTTCCACAATACTAAGCAGTTATAACATGAATACTTAAAAATGCTATCAAAAAAAGTAACATACCTTCACTAATGTCTACATTTTTTCAAAATTTAAGTTTTCTATTTTGAATTATCTGACTAACCAAAAACAACATTTTCAGGTCAATTTTCTTCCTATTTTTTTTTTTTTTAAATGCGAATTTATCAATAAAATGACTGAAATATTTAAATTACAGAGAAGAAGTTGAAATAATACAAAAATTCTTCAAAAACTCTTCGCACTTTCCAAATTTAATTTAACTGTTCAGTTTTAATTGAATTGTGCAACTTTTCCATTTTTATTGACTGATTTTAGTCGATGCAACGAAAACTGAATTCAGAATCATTTCAATATATTTTATAAAATCTAATAATTATAAATAGTCCCAAAAGGGCAATCAACTTGGTTAAATATTAACATTTAAATTTAGTATTAGAAAAAATGGAAATGGGAACATAACATACATTATTAATTTATTCAAAAGCACGTGAATTTTATATCTGACTAAAATCTACTTTGTTCATCAATATTTTTAAATCTTAGAAATTATTAATTCATCTTATTTTTTAATACCAATCTTATTTGAATTTACTTCTCTTTTCTTTGAATCAATTATTTTTTTAAATCAGATCAACTCAAACTTCAATGAATAATACTTAAACTGTAAATGCATACATACATATATAGAATGGGCAGGTATACTTATTTTGTAAAACTGTGCCAAATAGATCCCTACATTAGTTTGCGGTTCATTTACGAAAAAAAAATAATATGCTTGCGTGCTTATTTAATATCCTTGGAAATAACAACCTCAACAATTGGAACATACATAATTTTATAATTTTCATATTGCAAATGCATTTTATATAGAACTAAATGTGGTCCAAAAGAAAATTATTATATTTTTCAGTTATTTTTATAATGGAGTTAATAATTTTGTATAAACATGAATAATTTTAAAAATCTAATCCAATAAAATTATATTAGCAATAGTACTCACAATAATATTAATACTTTACCATAATATTGGCCAGCACTAAAACAAGCACATTTAATATACAAATATGTAGCAGATTAGATAAATTAAAATTCATAAATTTAGAAAATTTTGTATAATTAAGTTTCTAAGATTTCATATATTTCGTTCAGAGAATAGAATATGTTTTAAAGATCTGTTTCTTACTGATCGATAAAAGGTGTATAAATTTTACGCTTTAAAACGGGTGGTTTTCATTCTATGTTTTACTTGTTTTAATTTCTGCCACCATTAGGATTGGCTGATTGCCTGAACTTTCAGTTCATACTTTTTTAATTTAAAATTTGTGTACTAGTCTGTATACAAATCCATAGTAAAACACAGAGGTATGGCTAAGTAGCAAATTTAAAATTTTGCATGGAGCATTTTTTCAAATACGTTTTTTGAATAAAATTTGAGTTTTTGTACAGAAGATCGTGTACTTAGCATAAAATGGGTAATAGTGTTAAAATTTTTTTCGAAATAAGTTCTTTGAAACTAAAACACGTACGTCAGTGAAGAGTATACCACAAAAAAAGGACCGTTCGAAATTAGTATTGTTGTAAAAAAACGCATTTTTAAAAATTTTCTACTTAGCATATCTGTATACTATCTATAATTCTATTAGATACGCATAAATATCAGCTGAATTTAAAATTGTTTCATTATATTAATTAACCTCTAACTTCAAGCTTAAAAAGACATGCGGTTCTTTATTTGTTTTTCAACTTAAAGTAAGACCAATACGGACTGTCGATTTTCAACATTTTAATTTTTCTGATCAGCAAACAGGTAGTAGGTACCTGATTTAGAAAATGAAAGTAACATTTTATTTAATCATGCAAATTTATTTATACATAATGTTTATTTAGTATGTAAGTTAATCGTAATATTTACATAAAAATACATAAAAAAAATAAATTTTTTAAAAAACTATATTATGTATAGAATATTTTTAAATGCAAAATATGGACATAATAATTGTTTATGTATTATTCATGCATATGAGTGGTTCTATAAAATTTATTCATCTATTTTATACTAATGACTCTTGACATCGTTATTTTATAATAAAAATAATAATAAAAATAGTCAAATGAAAAATTGTTTGAATAAAAATAAAGGTAATTTTAAATTCAGTCGAATGGAATATGTATAGAAGTACCATAATATCGTCGGTTAAAAAGCATTAAGTCAGGAAACTGTGTTTTGAGTGAAGTCAATTTGAAAATATCGTAAAATTGTAGAACTAATTAATTAGTGCAATGGGATTGGTCTCTTTAATTTCTGGATTTATAAACTACATTCTGGATTTGCATGATTTTTGCCACAACAAAGATTATATTATTCTGATTTAATTCATCTATGAAATCCGAATTCTCAAAAAAAGCACTTAGTGCTTTCTGCTTTTTAACCGGCGATATATTGTGTACCAGGATAACTTAGTGTACTGCAATCACAGTAAGAATATGAACCTTCTACAAAATTAAAACAGAAATATTTAAATATTTATACAAAAACAAATATTATTACTTTCCTGAATACAGGTATGTTTTTGCACAATTGTATTCTGTGAAAAAAATAAAAAAAAAATGGGGTTAAGACATTTTGCTCAACTAAGAAATATTTTGGAACTTAAATATAAATTTTCTTATATTTTATTTGTACATTAATTTTATCGCAATGCCGCCGTTTCCGAAAATTCTATTATATAATTATAATATTTTCTAAGTACATAATATGTAAATATTTAATATGTAAAATGATATTGTATTAAAATATTCTTCCTAATTTTTGATTAGTTAAATTTTCCTCTTTACAACATGTTAAAGATTATTTATGAATTTAAGAGAAATTATTACTCTTAATCTATTTTTATATTTATTTTTTACTATTTTTTTTTTGCAGAATATGCGGATGTCTGGTGAAAATACTGAAACATTATATTTAACATCATTGGTACGAGAAAGTGCTGGATCATATGCCTGTGGTGCCAGTAATACTGAGGGTGAAACACAAAGCTCTAGTATAATATTAAAAGTGCAATGTAAGTGTTTGGCACAAAAAAAAAACAAAATTTCCTTTATATTCCTTTAATTTTTTGAACTTTTATTTTACTTTAACGTATAACTATTCTACATACTCGTGTATATGATGAACAAACTGAATAGTTATTTTACTGAATTTTTTAAACATAATATATTTTACCTAATATTACACATATTATATACAAACTTAGAAATAATATATAATATATGTATTATTGTTATATTGTGTGTGCATATACTTAGTTATAATGTGTGCAACGAAAATACTTTGTTCTTCAAAAAATATTCAGTTTTCTTTTCTTCCTAAGGTTGTGAAGATGTTTTTTTGTATATACATATGTGTATATATTATGTGGAATGCGCATAAATTATACATATAAGAAAAATATTTTCAACAAATATGGTTAGCTAAGGATGTTTAAACCACACTTATGTTTATATTGCGAAAGAATGTATTTTTTTTTCTTCGTATGTAAAATTGCTGTACTTTAAAAGAAATTGTAAGAAAAATTGAGTTTAAAAATAATTTTATAATGTTAGCACTTTTATATTATAACGTAAAATCTATATGTACTTGGAAAAGGGTTGAAAAAGGAAACGATTTTATCTTTAGCCCGATAGCTATAACATAAAAATTAAAAAAAGAAAAAAACAAAGTAGAAAATAATCAAAAATTGGTTTCAACTATAGGAAATTTTTTTATATTTTTTCATTCAACAAATTTTTATAGCAATTTTCTCTTCATTGCTTTTCTTTAAGTAATATTTTTTTTTTATAATATAAAATTGTATAAATAAGCAGTCACTTAAATTTGTTTAAGCTCATGAAAAACTCGTTTTCTTCTATGCAAGTTTAGAATATTGGATGTAAAATGCCGCTATATTGTATACTAAAATAATCCATAATAAATAAAATAAATTAAAACGATATTTATTATATGTACAAACTATCCTTGTCTTATCACATCCTTTGAATCTGATTAAAAGAAAATACCATCGTTGTTTATTTCTTCATATCACTAAATTAAGTATTGTGTTTACATAAAGAACATAACTTACTCGAAAATATAATATTGATGACGAAGTGAATTTATTTAAATCAACAAATAAAAAATTATATTGTAAGAGTATTAAGAAAATCCCATTTAAATTTATAATTCCATAAGTGAACTGAATTACTTATTAATTATCAAGAAAATTTTGAAATGAAAGAAAAATATTATTAAAGGAACAAAATATTTAATGGGCTAAACACTTCCAAATCTCTTCATAGTGTCTAACATTTCATATTTCGTAAATTTATTCTTAAATTCATTCAAACAAATTCAAGTATTTTTAAATTTTTATTTCGTCATCAATTAGACGCATTAATTATTAAAATTGAATTGTGGTCAACATTTTAAAATTTTTTTCAAAAAATTTATTTTTCGCATACAGGCATTTTGCCGCCTGTACCTGCAATTGTTATCCATATGCCAGTTTCACGATTTTTAACTTAAGAAGACTTGTGCAGGTTTTCGAAGATGATCTTTCAAAATTTGAAATCTATTTTTTGCTATTTCATTCAGTTTAGTCAATATTGTAATTAATATTTTAGGAAGACATTAATCTCAAAAACTCCTCAATAGTATTCAAAGCCATTAAATTATTCATCAAGATTTCTTTAAATCAATTTATTACACAATTAAGTCGCCACATTATATAGGCAAAAATTGCAGAATAATATAGCCGTTAAGATTTACTATTATCTACGGCATATTTTTTTCCAAATTTTTGATATCATTTTTTCTTTAACACGGGAACTTGTATTAGCAATATTAACTCAATTAAAATTTCTTCATAAAACTGCAGAACAGATGGATGACATAATCAGTAGAATGAATTAAAGCCAGAAGAACGGTCTGTAGCTCAGTTGGTACAGTGACCGCCTAGAATGCGGTACGTCACTGATTAAAGTCCAGTTCGAGGAGAAAAAATTTTTAACTTTTCTGCCTTTAACTCATTTCTTTGATTACGTCATCCATCTCTTCTGAAGTTGTATGAAGAAATTTTCATTGAATTAATATTATTAATGTAATAGGCACAATACTTATTAATTAAACAACTACAAGTTGTATTAGTAATTTATTTGTCTTAGCAACTTTTAGATACTAATAAATAATTTTAGTTCATTGAAGAAAAGTTTTTCCCAACCTCAACCTCGACTGCCTCCCAGTCTATCAAATAGTATAATTATTATCTTACTTACATATTTAACCGTCAAATTTCATCATTGTGTTAATGCTTTTTTATTTTTACTCTTTCTGATCCTAAATGTATGCAATAAGTCGATGTGTTTTGGTATATGAATAAAAACAATTAAGATAATGTCGTGGATTGTGGGTAAAAACAGTATTTTCATTTGTTGAAGAGAAAAGTTGGCTCCAACTTTACTTAATCAACCATATAGTTACGTTTTGATTGAAATGTGTCTGTAATATCCTTTGTATTAATATTAATTAAATGTTATTGTTCTCGTGAAAATTTAACATCAAAAAATGAACTCCAATATAGCTATTACTTGTAGAATTGAGAAAATATTGAAATAATTTCAAAATAAAAGTTTTAAAATTTTCTAATTAAGTAATAAAATATCGAAGAAAACATTACGAAAAGACGAGAGCAAAAATAAAATAAAACAAAAAAATTTAAACATTAAGGATCAATAAATAACTGAAATGAAATAAATTGCATAATGAAATTTCTTTTAAACATTAAAACTTTCGATGAATAAATAAAAATTTCCCAAAAAAAAACAAAAACCAAAATTATTATTACAATTATTATTATTTCTCCAATTTTTAATACATTTTATTTTATTTTCTCAGATTATGTTTTTATTATTCCCACAAATGCATTTTCATATTACATTAGAATGCTATTGTTATAAAATATACAAATTTATATACAGAACTTTATATTCAGCATACCTGTATAATGCACTTTTAATATAAAACTATTGCTAATAATAATGTAATAAAATCCTTTTTACTTTTCAACTATAGAATAAAAATGTAATGGCATAGTAAAGGGAAAGAAAAATACCAGGTCATTATAACTAACTTACAGTCCATTTAAAATTTTTAGTTCTCGTGTTTTTCTTTTTATTTTTTGTAATTTTGTTGTTTCCCATTAGGAATCTCGAAGTTTTTACATAAAATTTGAATTCCATTTTGAAAGAAAAGGAAAATGAAAAATATTTTAAAATAGAAGCAATGTAGAAAAACTAAAATAAGTTACTTAATAACTTTTAACAAGAAACTCTTTCTTTCACTATTTTTATTATTTTTTTACCTTTTCAAAGATAATCGTCGGTTTTTGTTAGCATATTTTCCAAAAAGTTAAAAAAAATTAATTCGGTGGGTAGAATTGTTACTATGGTAACTGGTTCATTAGTTTATAAATTTTTTAGTCTTGTTATTACAATTTACCAAAATGAAACCTCAAATCTGTCAGCACGCTCATTTTTAATAGTACTTATTTCCTCTCGAACATGAATTTTTTCCTGTAGATAAATATAACTAAATCCTTTTTATTGAAAAGTTTATGAGAATAGCTAGATATCAATTAATTAACTTGATCTTAAAAAACAGCCTTGAAGAAACTTCTCATTTACACGATATTGTGAAATAAGAGCCTCCAAAAATGGAATCAAATGAAATGTATTAGATCAAACAATATAATTTATACTATAAAATTTTTTTCACGCTGATTAAGTATTATCAAATATTTTCAGAATAAACTCAATTTCCTCGCATTCTTCAATATTAAATTTCTCTGAAACTTAGTCAATTTTCTCCTTTATTTTGATCTTAAATGGCTATAATTAAAAAGTGACGACGCATATCGTATATAGGAAAAGTGCTTTCTCAAGAGTCTTCTTTTTTTCAGATTCTTAATATTGTCCGTGTTTTTTTTTACCACTGCTGCTACCTACTTATTTCAAGTTATTTTGCGGAACGATTTAAATTGAAATAATAGAATTGAAAAAAATTTGTGGTAATAGACTCCCACACAAGTACAACTAAATATAAAAAAAAATTGAGCAAAAAGAAAAAATACAAAAATTTAATTCATCTACAAGTGAATTAAATTTGATAATAAGATCAAAAAGAACAGTTAATACCTTTTGTTGGCTTAAATGTTGAAGATAAATATAAATTTACAAGTTTTTGTAAATATTCTCAGTTCACCTAACAAGTTCTATTCTCGTTCACCTAAAATTTTCCGTCTAACTCAACGCAGGGCTGTGTATTCACAAAGAATATTTTTAGTGTTTCAGTTCGAGTTAGACGTTACCTAAAAAAAAAACTTTAAAGCAGTTTTAAATTTTCTCTTAATGTTTTGCGATTTGCATACAACATTGCTGGTGTGCAAAATACGCGAAATAATAATTCAGTGCAATTATGGGATGTTGGACCAATGTACTAAATGACACAAATATGCTGTTACTCTGTACAGATAGAAAGTTTTTAAAAATTGGCACATCACCCATTACAATTTTATTTACAGACTACAATATAAAAATTTTACAGACTATTACATATCTTTATCTATATATTCGTGTAAAAATTAACGTTTAGACAGAACAACCAAAATTTTACATGGAAATATTAAAAAATAAGTCAACGCTGCTCATCCTAATTTCGTTAACTTTTCTTTTCTTCTAAACACTTTAAATAGAGCAATACTAATAAAATAATGAAAAATATAGGCCTCGTGTTGCATGACGAGCCTGGAGTTGTATAAGTATTTAAAAATTTTGGGTTTAAATTTAAATCTTATTAAATCTTTTCCTCAAAATTTTGTTTTTTTTTTTTGGGTGTTTTTTTATAATATTTGCTAACTTTTGTTCTCAGTTTAAAAAAAAATCTGTATTTCAATTTTCCGCTTAGGCAATTTTATTACTAAAACTCTCTTATGTGGAAATTACATTTTATTTGTATATACATAAAAATTTG